CATGTTTGCAATTGAAATTAGAAAGAGGAATTGAATAGAGTGATGTGTGGTATTGCTATTTGTCATTACATTTGTAAAATAACAATTGGGCAAATTCTTGACTGGTGACTGTTCGAACTTAAAACAGATTAATCGATTTTAAACTTAGGGGAAGAGATTTGTCGCATGCAGTTGGCAAGTATAGGTTTCTACGAATAAACACTGAATATGATATTCGTGGGCTTCGAGAAGATTACGCGGTTATTCTCGTTTCGTATCTATTTTATATTTCTAATTTTGTCGAGAGGATTGATCTGTGTCATTCGAATCGATGAAATAGCCGTTTCTTAAATTTTTTTTTTTCAATTAGAGGCGCACAATGGCACAAAAATTAAATCTCAATGAGAATAAATAAAAACAAAGAGCATAAAGCGAACGATATTGGGAAAAAATGGAGAAAAATTGTCGATATTTTTAAAGAACATGCAACCTTTCGTTTTAAATAATAAAAACTCCACTCATGCAATCCTGAATTTTTTATTTTTCAATTTTGCCGCGCGATATTAAAATATCTCCGAAGAAAATAAACTCAAAATCGTTACGTATATAGAATCCAGACTGTTCACGAACTGTGACAAACAAACAATCCGATTTAATCAAAATATTTTCTTGGCTTTCCTCTCGACCAATTAAAACAACCCAGAATACCCACGAGAAAATACCCGCAAGAACGAAACGAAGAAATATTCGTTTATGCGATCGAACAATAGCTTAGGATTGTGATTCGACTTTTGGAACGGAACCCACGTTCCCGGCATTGTTTGAATTATTGAACGAAACGGAGGAACGCGTGGAAAGCGTAACGATTTCCCAATAGAAAGTAAATCGGCTCTAACAGTTTTAATCCTCGACGAGGATCGATAGCTGGTTGCGCCCGACAGGTGCAATTTCCGACTTGGCATGATAACGTAAGTGGCCACATCGTGACTTAATCGCGACGCTGAATCTGCTAAACGCTTGCCAAGGTTTTTGATGGAGATACAAGGGGGCCATTGTTTCGTAACGACTGCCCCGACACCGTTCGTCAACCTCCCGTTTTCCAATCCGCCTCGGATATTCGATCACCTTCTATGACGAGTTTTATTTTCCGCTTTAACTTCGATTTTGTAAGACGTCAAGTGCTTCATTGACGATGACGCGACAATTGAATACAATTAATTAATCTACGAATGTGGTTTTTTTTTCTTATCTTTAAAGTTTCAAACTTTTGTTGAAGAATCATAGATATTTCTTCGTCATTGAATTTTATTTTAAATTCATTTAGAAAAGAAAAATTTTATTTTACATCTTTTTTGCCAATTATTATTTTTAAACTCAATTTCTTCGCTACTTATTCTCTTTTTATCTTATATAAAAAATTTCCAAATATTCACCATTGATTTTAAAGATTTAAAGAACGATAAATGAATCTCAATTTTTCTTTATTGACCTTCTGTTAAAAATAACTACAAAATTCAAGAAAATTGATATCAACCAGCGTCGAAGGAATAGCTTCACGTGCAAAAAAAAATATATATATATTATTAGGGGAGGGTTTATCTGAAATATTTATCTTCGAATCGAAAAAGGCCCGATATTATTGTTGCGAAATATTTTTGTGCAAAAAATAATTGTAGAAAACGTTCACTATCGGCAAAAGGTTCGTAAACACGGATCGAATTATCCCGCGGTTGTAGAAACCGGCGGATGGAAATTGCGTTGCACGGTGCGCAGTGATTACGGGAATAGCCTTCGGCACGCGCGCTCGTTGCCAGCTAAAAGTCTTACCTAAATCAACGAATTCTTTCCTCTCGGCACTCTATTAAAGTATCGGTTTCGCGATTAATCATTTTCCATTTAGGCTTTATCGGCCATTCAATCCGGCTTACGCAATTTCTACTCGACGCCCTCCTTCATTTTGATCGCGTTTCGCTATCGAGAAAAGCTTGAGAGAGGAAGTATTTAGGAGTGGATAATAATAACAAGGTTTTGTTACCCGGCTCGTGGTAAAATAAACAAGCTTATGGGTCGCGGAAAGATTATTTTGGCCGCGTGTGTTGAAATAATCGAGTTAGGGCTGGGTCGAGAAAAAAGATTATTTGAATCATTTGATGTTTTCGTTTAATCTTTTCGTGTCGTTCCATGTATGGATTTTGTTGCTTGTCATGGAATTATAGAAAAAGCTGGATCAAAAGCTTAGATTATTGGAAAAGAATTTGCGTGACTAATAACGAAATGGATTAAGTGAAAAATTTTCTTAATCAAAAGAATTCCTCCTTGAATTTGAAAATGTTCGAAAATGTAAGATCGTAGAAAAGATTAAAGAATAAGGAATAATGAAATATCGGCGCAGTTTTCTTCTAATACAAAGGACAAACTTATTGACAATGATACGTTAACAAGCTAGTTATAAAGTAGGAAGGCTATCTATAATTACGCCTGAAACAAAAGAATCATTCTCTTAAAGGAAATCTTTTATTTTCTATTACAAAAATATATATTCAGCGTTTAACATTATTCGTGTAACAATAGAATTTCTTACTTTCTTAAATCATAATATTTTGGCGATATATAATAATAATTATAAATAATAAATTACGTATCTTCCCTTAAATTATACCCATTTTCCTCGAAAAATCTCAAAAATCGATTCCTCAAAAAGGGGATCCAAGATCTCTGCCGAAAGAAGAACGAAAAGAGGAAGGAAGGAAGGAAGGAAGGAAGGAAGGAAGGAAGGAGAGAAGAGGCGATAAACCGATAAAGGATAAAAGAAGTACAAGAATAAACGAAAATAAAATAGAAAAAAGAGAAGAAGGATGGTTAACGACACGGTGCCCACGTGGAAAGCGATAAAAGGCTATCGAGATTCATCGAAGTAATTGTGGTGCGGTTTGTCTATCATTAGACCGTGTTATTATACGGTTGGACCGATTCCATAAACGGGCACCCACGGGTAATTGCATATCCTTAATTGTTCCCTTGCGTTTATCGAGGGGACGAATCGACGCGGCGCATCGAAAAACGAAGCGTGGTGGCTACGAATTTTCCATTATTAGACACGCAACTTCGTTGGCTACTTTCGTCGGCGGTGAAAGGCCCGGAGCGGGCCGATTATCGGGCCCCTCTCGATACGGCCGTAGGTGAAATCGAAACCGCGGATTTAAATCCGAGGGGCAATAATTGCGGGTTGTCGCGATGAAAAGTATTATAAAGCGGGTTGTATACGCGGGACAATGGAACGACCGGTTTCGTAATGTGTGCGACCGATGGGGGGTCCCCGTGGTCGAAACACCGTGAAGGCCATCGCCACAGTCGAACGATTCTCGCCCCCTCGCTCGATCCATGCGAATGGGTATCGAATGGAGGCTCGTCGAGGCGATGAAAGTTTCTTCGAATTTTTTTGATAGGATAGCTTTGGAGAGCTTTTTTTTTTTTTTTTTGAGCGAGCAGAAGAAAATTTGGGATAAATACGGGAGGAAAAGGGGATCGATATCGATGAATATAAGTTGTGGACTCGATAGGAGGGAGAGCTCTTTTTAGAAAAGCGCGAGGAAGAGTTGTGGAAGAATATTTGGACAAGTTTGAGTCCCAAGTGGTTGATAAAGAAGTGATTTGAATAAATATAGGTAAAGAAGCAAATATGAAAATAATTATAGAAAATTTATTATTGTTGAGATTGAAATAGATATAACTCAAAAACTATCGATCAACATATCGATGTTCACAATTCTAAAAGAAAAGTGATAGAAAATTCTTAATTCGAGAAGTTTAGAAGACAATTTCATTTTTTTGGGGTAACTTTACAAAACTTTATGATAAATTAATAATGAGTTGGAAGACAGTACAATATTCGGTACAACTTCTATACCGTAAATCTTTCAAATTTTAATTAATTTCGATGGAAATAAATAACAAGGGGACTGTTCTTTTCTTTCAATCGAGAACGTTCAAAAACCGTAGAAACCGTCTAATTTGCTGGCGAAAAGCGATTCGATATGGCGACGTCGATCGATAATTAAGAATGGTTTCGAGTATATCTGTCTCGCGCGTTTGCCTTTTTCTCCCCCTTCCCCCTCCCCCTCCCCCTTCTGTTCCATTAAATCCGAACAGAAGATTCCGAGTCGTGCTCGATACTTTCCAATTAAATGAGTCAGATAAAGGATTTCTCTCGTTGGAGTACCATTCGGATGGGCAGCGAGGCGTCGAATATTGTCAAACAATAATTAAATCCAGCGTTGCGCGAGATGAGAGCGACATTGGCAGAAACATTGGCTGACCCATATATATATATATATAATACTATACATGGATTGAATGGAAAAGTGCAATTATCAGCGTCTTTGTGAGACTTTAGCCACATGGAATTTCCGCAAGCTGGTTCTACAATTTAAATGAATTCGATGTAGAACTCGTGATACTACATCGTTCGTGATTGTCATCGATTTCTTTTCTTGCTAAGAGAAGAATTAATTAAGAGAAAGAATTGATTGGAGCAGAGTTGTTTGGTACTTTCTTTTTTTATTACAAAGGATAAATAAATAAATAATCAATATTTTCAGTAATTTGTTTAAAGGAAAATGAGGTTTTTTTGATTATTGTGATCATTAGAAATATTAAACTTTGTCGATATTGATATTTCTTATTGTATTAGAAAAAGAATTTAGTTTAGCTGATTTTAAATTAAAATTAGGCCAAGTGAACCTATACTTTCTTTTTTTTATAAAGGATAAAATAGAATTTTTTTTAAACAAGCGATTGAAATTCTCAGCAATTTGCTCAAAGGAAAGTATTCTTTAATTAATTTTATCCTGTTCTATCATAAATAGAAAAAACTGAAACGAATTTTCAATCAAGTTAAGTATAAACTCGAATATAAGGGGTAATAAGATAAAAAAAAAAAAAACTCAATAATTGAAAGATAGTTAATGTTTTGAAGAAAAATGATAAAAAAAAATTCCTCAGAGATACGATTTCGATATTTGCCTTAAATTATCGTACAATCTTAGAAATAGAAAGAAATTTAAAATATTCCATTAATTTTAATCGAGCAAACAAGACTTGAGTCTCAAAGGAGACAGTGTATACAGATGCAAATGCAATCGCATCAAAATATTTTACAAAGTTCCCTCTTTTCCTGAGATAAATCATCTGGTAAATCGCGTTCGTGTTTACACCAGGATACGCTCGCTCGAAAGTATTTTCACACATGGCGAGTGTCAAGATTCTACATGGCGGTCGTAAAAGAAACGCGTGTTTTTCTCGGACAGCTCGAGCGAGCAGACAGCCGGAAAACACGATTTCTCTGAAAATTCCATAAGCGATCGAAGGGGCAACAATATCCTCCGGATGGAATAACAGTTATGGAAAAGCAAGAATCCTGCGAATATCGTTGGAAGAAAATGTTTTTTACAAAGTTTTCTCTCTTCTTCCTTTCGAAAAAAAAAAATGGTTAATCCATTCATCATGATAAAAATAATCCAAAAGATTTTACTTTTGGATAGAGGAAAATTTTAAAAACACGTTTCTTTCTATCGTGTTATTTTTATAATTCTTGAATCGTGCACAATGAAATGGTCCACATTAAATATTAAATAATTATTCTCTGAATAATTGGCGCGTCAAATATTAAAATATTTCCATCGTTCAACGGGAGAAAAGAAAATAAAATTAACAGAGAGTCGCAACAACGTATCGTCTGAAGGCGCAGTGCAAATTACACTCTACAAAATCCTCAATGCCTTTCCTTTCCAGGGACTTCATTTTAATCCATATTCTTCTTTTCGTTTGTCCTACTCTCATCCAGTTCATTCTCAAAGCCTCATAGACGACATTTCATCTTTCTGCCGAGAGGCACATCGCAATTCCCCTTTGCTCTGCCACGCATTTCGACTTTTTCCTTTTTCTATAATTCAGTAGAGGCCCTCTTCTGAAGTCAACTTGAAATTTTCTTTTTTTTTTTTCTTAAAGTTCACACAGATATTTCGTTATTAAGAGAAATTTTTATTCGAACGATTCATCGTTTTATTTATTATTTAATTTTCCAGAAAAAACTGCTCGAGCCTAGATTGGTATTATCTTTAATGATTCGTGGAAAACAGAGGCCAAATGGCGTCCAAAACTGCGAGTTTATCGGTTAAAAATATCAGGCAAATGGCACCACAATGGAAGTTTTTACGATCGGTGTGAAATTTCGACAAAATATTCTGAAAATCGTACGATTCCGTGTTGTATATGATTATATCGCGATATAATCCTCGATAACACCCTCGTAATTGCTGTTATTTCGTTCCAACAATGGCGGAAGCTTGCGAGACGGGATCTTATCGGTCATCGGTGTCACAGACGAGTATCATCTTTATCCCGATATGATGTAATCGTGAGAATTTAAACTGAGATGTGTGATTTCATCGTTCAAGCCTGTCGATGGACTCGAAGAAAAATCTGATCGTACTGTATGATCTTTGAATCGCATGTAAATTTAAACAACATTTTATAACATTTGGATTACATCTTTCTACTATAAGAAAGGGCTATGCTTATTATAGTATCGTATTTTATGATTGCAATTGTTGCGAAAGGCGAATAAATCATATCGTTCCTTTATTTCTACGAATTTTTCCTTCTTCTCTTCTCGCGAGAAGTGAAAGTGAAATAATTTGAAAATATTAAAAAAAGGAAAGTTGCGAAATTGAATTAAGCAGAGTGATTTTATTTTAATATAGCAAGAATATAAATAGATGAATATTTAAAAAAATATATGATGAATAATTTAAGAAATTTTTGTTTATACTCTTACTCTATACTTTTATAATTATCGTGAGAATCGATGCACCAATTGTTATCAGTTATTGAATTCATTTTACCGTGCGATTCAAGAGAAAATTAATCGACTAAGGAATCGAATTCAAACTAGGACAGGCACGTTGGCCTCGATATAACGTTACCTACTATTAAGCCAAACTAATTTCAAACTAGGACAATCGCATTTGTCTCAGCGACAGACAAGCTTCATCCTGATAATAATGGTAACACGATGCATATGTTTGAGCAATACCCTCTCTTCTTCTCTGGACATTTCACGATCACGTGAAAATTAACTTACATTGTTGTTGCATTGTAATCGTGTATAAATCTCTTCGACAAATAAATGCAGAATGAATCATTATTGAAAACACGTTCTAAAAATTAATTTCCAGTTTAAATCAATTTTCCAAGAAAGTAATTTGGCCGCAAAAGGAAGCAAACAGTAATAAATCAGGAATAAAGTGATCTTGAATTTTGAAACATACCGCGAAAATTAATTTTCACAGTGAATCAACAATTTTCCAAGAAACCAATTGAAAATCGCAAAGAAATTAATCTTCAGTTTGAATCAACAATTTCGAAGGAATCGACTCTTCGTTTGCCACAAAAAGGGAAGACCAAGTAAAAAAGAAAGGAAAGATTTATTCACGGAGGGGAAAAACGAAGCATCGCTATCATAAAACTTCTAAAAAAAGATTTCCAAGAATCTTAGACCATCGTCATCACGTACGACGATCCCTTCTCGAGTAACGTCTCATTTCCCTTGATGGCTTTGAAAAATGGGTCATTCGGAAGCTAAATTTCGCTTTGCAACAATATTTATAAAGCTTCATTTAATTTTAAGGTGTACAATTAGTGATCAAATCAAATCAATACTTTCTATATCGATAATGAAATTCATTTTACAATCATTGATAAAAAAGATTGTTGTTGCTTATAACTTTTACTATTAGAATTCTGTTTTAAACGTTTGTTTTAATTTAGTGTCTTACAGTAATTCGAATCATTCGAAGTTATTCATTAAATTTTTTCAGTAATTCTTCGTATTGTTTGACAATAAATGAGATGATTTTTGGAGCTTTGGTTTACATGACACGTCATTTTGCCAAAACAGGTTGTTGTCAAGAACTGGAAGATCAAAAATCATGGAGGAATCATTGTGCCCGATGAAAGTCGAAAACATGAATGGATAATGCAATTTTTTTTACGTGTTTCCTGAGAGAAAGGTGAAATTGAAACAGTACAAAAAACTTTGGGATCTTTGTTTTTTGAAGTTGAAAGGCGCTTGACAATTATTTTCAGTTTGTGATGTATGTATGATGTATGTATTTTAATTTTATTATTTTTGAGCTTGTGAATTATCATGGTTATTGTGAGGGAGTTGTTTTTAAAGAAAATTAAAGAGATTAGAATGATTTGTAAGAATAAATTTATAATGTAAATTTGATCATTTTTTGTTTACAATACATTCTGTTATTTTTGTAATTGAATGATAATGAATTGTCATAAAACAATCTTGACATTTTTGTTCAAGAATGAAATGAATCAAATTAATGGAAATTTATATAAATTACCTAGCAAATGGAAATAATTTTTGAATCAATCACAGGACGTTTAATTGATTGAAAAGGAAGAAGTTAAGAAGTAATATTTTTTCCCCCAAACTTAATCCATAATTCAAAACCATTTGGAATTTCGCTTAATTTAATGTATGCAAGTGGCATAAATTGACGTTGTCATTTATTTCACGTTTCATCCGTTGAACATTCGTTCTACACGCTAATGGAAAGATATAAACGAAGATGAAGTTATTACAGTCATAATCGAATAATGTCTATACAATAAATTGAATGTTAAATTAATTTGAAAAAATACGATATATTGTTGCCTGTATCGAATATATTCAACAATATATTACTGTGATAATTCCATTATCAAAATCTTGCAAAAAGTAACAAGCGAGTATAATAAATTTGTAATTTTCATGTACACGAAAGTATTCGAATATTGATATATACTTATATTTGAAAATTTGTCCAATTTAAAAATCCTTATTGAAATGATTAATTGAAATTTTACAATCCTTTTTTTTTTAAACGAAAGTATGTGCAAAGCATGACAGATGCGTACAATTTTTTATATTAAACTGAAATCCAAAGTTTCGATGTTTATTTCGTTCTTTTCAATGCATATAACTCTACAATACCGAGATAATGATCGAAACTTTTCGCGTGGAAAATATTTTTAATATTCGACGCTCTCATTGTGAAAAAAATTTCCCGGATAAAATTGTATTCGAAACAACAAGAAAAAGTTGTGAAATTTTAGATTTTATTTCAGATTTCTTATCTTATAAAAAAATTGTTCAACAACCCATTACATACACAAACTTTCGTTAAAAATCAAGATTTCTTTTTATTCTATATGTATATATACACACACAAATAACAGGATAAATCAAGATAAATTTCTCTTTAATTAAATGTTCGAATATCCGAATACGTTACGACAACAATTTCCACACCCAAGCATCCATATATCCATTCAAATCTCGTTAAACCACCGATCGCATCGTAATCCAATATCCACGTACGATAACACTCGACAACTTCATCATTCTCCAAAGGTATCGCATTAATCAGCCGGCAGAAGCCAGCTGAGCGCCTCCTCGAACCTCCTCCCTAATTACTTCGCGCGTAATTCAAATTTCTAATCGACAAGAAGTCGGTGGGGTTGCGATCGAATTTGCGGGGTGAATGCAGTTCACCCTCGCGTGTCATTGTGCGCGAGCTGACCGTGCATGGAATATCATCGACACCTCGCTCGGAGCGTGATAATTAACTCGAACAATTATTCGGAATGGTAATTACGCGTGGCATGGAAGCGATGCGTGGTGAGAATTCGCCATTTCTCGCGGAGAAATGGCCGGCTTCCGCGATCGATTCGCACGTGCGTTCGACCAATTACCTGGGTCACTCGACCATCAATTCGAGCCGATTAAAACGCGATTAAGCGAAGTCGTGTTAAAAAGTGTTGGATCGAAGGACGAGTTGATTCTGGTGTACTCGATAATTTTGACGAATATATATATATATATATATTTTTTTGGAAATATTTTATTTGTTTTGAAGTGTATAATGCGCGATAATTTTTCTCGTTTGTTTATTCGTTTCACATTTTTTTGGGAATAAAAGGAGATGTGTTTTACACGTCTGAAATTATTGGATCACAATTGTATATACAGTTTCGCGTATATACTCGTTTCGTTTGGCGACATATAGATGCGTACGATGATAAATGAATGTCTAATTTGTCGGGTAAACAGTTATTCGATGTCGTTGTAATGACGGATAATGCGGAGAGTATTTTTAGAGATCGTAGTTGTAAGTAGGTTGCGATACGACGATGATTAGTCTTGTATCGAGTTATTTGGATAATTTGACGTGGTCTCATATATTATTACACTCTATTAGTAATTTCGTAATAATAAAGGAAATATTCTCATTGCCGACAAAATGAAAAAATTAATCCATTTCCTGGATTCGAAACTCGACACCCGTCATTTATAATACTTCTGTCGAAACATTTGCCATTTTTTTTTGTTTCAATTCTTAAATTACAATCTTCGTTCGTTTGTTGTCCCAGAAAAAAAAAATCTTGGGAGAAATCTTGCTCCATAATTAATAAACATACGTATAAAGTCGGGTTTAAGAGAGAAATTTACTCGAGATAATCGAGTATATCTCACCTGCGATCTTTCGTTCTCGCATCCGTCGCCAGAGGGCTTCCGCTTTGCGCATCGGCCAATTCTCCACCTTGGCGCTGAAGCTCCGGAAGAACTTGTACTCCTTGAAATGAGACATTCTTCTGCTGCCACCGTGGCCTGTTTCCTCGATCACACCGGAATTAGCAGGAGTGGAAGATCGACCTTCCTCGGTCGACATCTTCCGGTAAATCTTTCGCTGTAATTTCTCCGCCGCCCGCCTTTTCGCCTCCAGTTTTGCCGATTCTTATTCTCAATCTCTTCCGTTCAACAACAAGAAACAACAATTCGAGCAATTTTTAATTGTAACGATATTTATCATCGAAGAAACAAATTCCTCTACGATCGTGATCGTGTCAAGCCACGATGTTCTCTTGGATTCTTGGAAAATAATCTTCTTTTTCGCGTGGATTTATTGGAGAGGGGATAGATTAAATTTTTAGTTCGTTTAGAATCTCTCTGCATGACTAGATGAAAGTAACGAATGCGAGGGGAATGTATTATCTCTTTCGAGGCGTGTTTGCCCCACTTTTTTCATCCCGAAAGAATTACGTTCGAGAAACTTGCCATCAGCTTCGCGAAGAATGAACCACTTGTTGCAGTTTTCGATGTAATCCTACGTCGAAGATATCGATTCTTAAGTAGCTCTCTTAGATAACTGTTTTTTTTTCTTGCTTTCAATTATTTTCGACGATGAATACATTGAAACGAATCGAAAATAAAGATTATCTTATAGATCTTCTTCCAGTTAAAAATCTCGTATCTCTCTTAACGATTCTCCCTCCCTTCCTTTCACAGCACTGCACGACGAAAAAACTTTCACTTTCTTTATCCAACACACGTGTCTCCCCAACTTCTCATTTCTCTCGTCTCGATCCAAGGATATCGGTGGTATCGATATGATTTCACTCTCGAGATTTTTAAACGATTTCGATTTTGCTTTCGAATTTCGAAACACTTTCGAACTCCGTCCATCAGTCCCTCGATAAATTTCTTCTTTCTGGAGAGCGCATGGATCATTCGTCGCTACTTTTACCGATGTCACGCGATTGCAACAATTTCACGGCATTCGATCGAAGAGAGGTTCGAAAGAATTCTCGAAGATGGGCCAGACTCTTTGGCCGAGAAAAATTGTCTGCGTACGGGATGAAAAATTGCGTATCACCTCGCATTCTTTTCATTTCGAAGATTTACACGCGTTGAATTAAACATTATTTTGCACTTTTATTCTTAACTTTATTTCGTTTCTTCCTTGGATCCCATTAAGTTACGTTTATCGAATGGATGAAGTTTACGTGAATGGCAAGCTGAACTGAAGTCAAAATTCATAAAAAAGTTTTTGAGTTAGCACAGGTTTTTTTTAAATTGAAATTTTTAATTCGATCGATCGTACGGAAGAGTATGCAACGTATTTGAATGAAAAGATGAACGAAAAAATATATAATCAGTCGTAAAAATATACGTATACAAAGCGAATTTACATATTTCATTTACAAAAATCTAATTTTAATGAAAATTTTTGTACGTGTAGTAGTAGACTACTTTATTTTTTTTTTTTTTGGAAATCTCTTTGAGTGCGTGAAATTAACTCTCAAATTTTTACCATACAATTTTAATTTCAATTGGAAATATTTTTTATGAAAATGATATTTTAAAAATCTTGAAGATAAATTTTGTCCAATATTCTCTAACTTCCTCTTCTCTCTTCTCTTATTTCACAATGCTTATAATTTCTATTTTTAATTTCTTCATTTTTCACGACAAATACAGGGAAAAAATCTAATTCTTTCTTTGTTGATCGAATACACGGCTTCTGACTGTCGAGCAAATTTATCGAGTGGTCGACTAGACGTTTATTTGCGAACATAGAAATATGATGTCGAAGAGCAGTGGAATACCGAAAAACGGGTACCAGCCACGAAATACGCTTTTCCAACTCTCGAGGATTTGAGGTTCGAGGAGACGAATATCACCCTCTGTATTGCTTGCCATCAAATATTGACTCGGTGCAATGATTCGAGACGACGATTCGCGACAGACACTTTCCACCTTTCTACCAGTAATTCCAACTTCGACTGTAAAATTGCATAATAATTGTATACCTGTATAAAATCTGTATAAATTTATTCCAAGTAAGAAAAATAATTCATCAACAATTTGATTTGTTGCTTACATAATTTCTACTCGAATAAAAATTGTATAAAACTCGAAAATAAAGTCAGCATCTTCCTTTGCCAAAAATTCTTTGATCTTTCAGGAATAAGAAACTGTTATTAATTAAAATAAACGTATCTTAATTATCGAGAAATACAACAAATAATTTTTCCATCGATACGTTAAATTTAATTTTGATAGTGACATAATTAGAATAAATAAAAATCACAATGATTGATTGATCGTTAAAAAGGCCTATAATTAAAAAAAAAAAACCTCCTTTAAAATTACGATAAAATAAAATCGAATGATAAAATTGAGAAATCAAACAGCGTTTCCAAAATAAATCCATTACGATTCTATCAGAGAATAACAACGACAAGAGAAATCATTCTGCGAACGAGCAAGGAATGAATTCGACCGGATGTAAGCGGACAAAGCGTACGCGACCTGTGCTCGACAATACTCGAGGCGAGGACAAACGCGAGGAAAGATTTATCGGCAAACACGCGGTGTGTATATATTGTCGAAGGAAAGCGGTAATCACGGTGACTAACGAGCGATTTGTAGCACTTGGATCACCGACCCTTGACTTCAACAGGTCCTGTCGCGATATCTCTCGAGGACATTGGTTAATCATGCCATCGAACTTTCGACTCGACCACCAAGCCGGCCGACACGTTCGAGTTTTCGAATGGTGTACACACAACTCGCGTGCACAACCTTCGAGAGAAGGAAATTTTTTCCCTTTCGTATCGATTTATTCAGTTAATACTGGTACCGAGATTGATCATTTCGTAGATTCTTGGATTCTTCGCTCGGGATATTAAACGTCACACATATCGTAAATTGCGATTTTCTTCAGAAGAGAATTTATTTTGAGATTGTTAGGCAACGTATCGAGAGTTGCAATTATAAAAGGCTAATGAAAATAGAATGTAGTTCTATTAAATATTATTTATCATATAGATTAATTTAACATTTCGTGTTCTCTATATGTTTAAAGCTTTTAAAGTTTTCCACTTGATCAAGAAATTGGAAGAAGCATTCGTAATTTTGTATATTTTTTGAGTTAAAGATCTGGATGAAATTTATTTGCAAATTTTATTTCATATGTACGTATTAATTTATATATCGTATTTTATTATTTTTTACGGTCTTTCTTCTAATATGACCCAATTAAGAATTTATTGAAAACGCATCATCAATCGCTATTTAATTGAATTTAAAGAAAAAGATTCTGGATCTATTTGGCAAAATAAAAGTGAAAACAAAAATATTGTAAAAATCGTTCTAATTAATCGATCAAGATCCGTACATCTCTTAAGTTTTCCAAATAATCAAGTTAAAAATTCTCTTCGTTTCACATTAATATTGCTTTCAACAAAATTGGAATAATTTCATCATTCTTCATCTGTAACAACTTAATATTATATATATTTCCTTTTTAATCCTTACGATATTTTAGAAAGAAAACCTAATAAGATATCTTTTGAGATTCATTTCTCATAATTTAATTTATGCTGGCAAAAAGCGACGAAAA